TTTTTGTTTTTTAATATATACGGGTGACAAAATTACCAATAAAATATTTAGTATTATTAAAATGTAACTTGATGAGTTATATATATAATAATACATTATTTTAACAAAACACAATAAAATATTATATTAATAAATCATTTATAAAAAAATATATTAATCAAATATTCAACACAAATATCAAGGTCAAAATACTCTACCAAACACATATTCTACAAATCCTATTCTCGCAATCATAACTCTATCCAATTATCCAATACTATCCCTAAAATCCTATCCAAAATAATAAACCAAACACATCCATAGATTCTTAATTTTGTGATTAATTTTGATTATGTAATACCATAATTTAAAGCCAATGATACCACAAAATTCTTTAATTAATCTTGGGGATGATACTAATTTTTTTAAAAAAATTATTATTTTATTTATTATTTTATTAATTTTTTTTTTTAAAAAGCGTATCCCACGATACGTTATGCGATACACGATTTAAAAAATTAGGCTTTCGATACATGATACGATATGCGATTTGATAACCATGTGATACTTATAGCGAAGATTTTAAAACTTGAACTGCATATTACACACTAAATAATTCAACACAGGATAATATTGTTACAAGTTTTAGCCCATATCCACTTAAATAAGGGAAAAAGAAAAGTGTTCATCCATAACCCTAAGGGTAGTGATGGCAATGGGCTAGGCCGGGATCGGGTACCCCTTGGCCCAGGCCTAAGCCCGACCTCATGACATAGGCCCAAGCTCGGCCTGAGCCCGCTACGGGTATGATAGGCAAAGTCCAAGCCCGGCCCAACGGGTTTTTTATAACCGCAGGCTCGACCCAAGCCCGCCTTTTTTAATAATGTTTATTTTAAAATATTAATAAATTTCAATTTTTTTTTTATATTTTAAATTTTAGAAATAGTTTTTAAATATTAATTGAAGCTATTTCCGTAAATAATTTAAGCAATAAATGAGCAATTAAAATTCCATAATATTTGATTATACTAACTTTTCAGCTGTGCATAATATGTTATGGTGAAATCCACTTTTATAAGTTGAACCAAACCCATCTAACTCATTTAAATGCAATTTTAACATGTTAAACCTTCAATATGGGATGAAAATTGAGGTTAGGGTTTGGGAAAAATGGATATATATATATATAAGATAATATTGTAATTAAATATATAGTATAAGGGTAAATTAGTAAAATTAATACTAAATTTTTCGGGATGGGTCGGGCCTAAAGATATACCCATGCCCGACTCGTACTCGAGATCAGACCTTAAAATCAAGCCCAGGCCCAATCCCAAGCCCGCCAACCTCGGGTAAAGCCTGCCCCTTTAGGGCCAGGCCGGGTATTCGAAAATATCGGGCCCATTGCCATCTCTACCTAAGGGGTTTAGCGGTAAAAAATGTTTGTTCTATGTTTTTTGTTTTAACATAATGATTTGTTGGGTCTTTTGGGTTTATAACAATATTAAAAAATTAAAAAATAAATTGAATTTAAGGGAAATTGTGACATTTGACATTAATCAAGTATCATTAAGGCAAATAGTTGACCACAATAAATATTAACAAAAAAAGAAGAAGAATATATGGTAATAATTTAGTTGGGCTCATATTACAAATACGGAAAACCATATTCATATTTGGGTTGGAGTTGAAAATGATTAAGACGTGTTACCATTTATTACAAAAAAATGACATATTTGGACAATGGTTGTTAGTATCCTATGATACTCAATACGTATCATACGGTACGATTCGATACAGATCACCAACGATACGTATCAGAAAATGTATCCTAAACCTTTCGATACGTTGATATGTATCTTGCGATACGATACGTATCCGTTCGTATCCTTAAAAATATCGATATAAATCGATACGACTTTATTAATTTGGGCCAAAGGTCCAAAAAAAATTCAGGTCGAAACCAGATCACCCAACCCGATTCACTAAAACCTGTTCAAATTTACCCATTTTGCATGGAGAAAGTGAAGAGGAATATATATTGCCCATTTTACATGATAATAATAATATAAGTGGAGATATAGATATTGACATTGATCTTAAAATTTTGTGATTAATTTTCATTATGTAATACCGTAATTTAAAGTTAATAATACCACAAAATTCTTTAATTAATCTTGGGGATGATATTAATTTTTAGAAAATTTTGATTATTTTATTAATTTTTTTGAAAAAGGCGTATCTTACGATACGATATACGATTCAAAAAATTAGGTTTTCGATACATGATACGATACACGATTTGATAACCATGGTTTGGACCATTTATCATTTAATATATTACCACTCAAATTCGTTTACAATATGCCTAGATTTTTTTTTTTTTTTATTTTTGTAATTTTCAATATGATTATATTATCATACACCACATTATTGAATTGACCAACTAATTTTTCTATCAATCAATGATAACACTACAAGACTTTAAAAAAAATATATTTATAGTAATTTAATTTTTTAAATTTTTCATAGAATATTTATATTCTATTCAATGCACTTTCAAGTAGATGGGAATCAAAGAAAATAATTAAATAATTCATGCAACTTATTACATTTTATTTTCTCAGAGAAAACAAAAACATTAAAAAATAACCTTTTTTTTGGATTAATAGTTCATCAACGGATCTTAGCGATTGATTGAGGTGCACAAGAGCTGTTCATCTTTTCTAACTTTTGACCCATTGCCTTTTTAAAATTCTGTCTCACCAGCTTAGACACTCATGCCAAATTAAAATTTCCAACTAAATAATTAGATTTTCGTTTGACAAAACATTCTATTTTATTCACCCGTTAATAATTATAATTATAATAGTCAGTAATCTAATTGTATTTTTTGAGTTTTACAAAGCAATATTTTCGTCGTACAATGATATAAACTTTCTTTTGACACAAATTTTCAACGAAAATCTATAACGCAAATTGAAGGAGTAATGTTACAGTCACCAAAGTAGTGCACCGAATGACGTAATAAAATCTTGACCGTTGATTAATATTAAGTTAAAATTAATCAACGGTTAAGATTTTGTCACGTCATTCGATGCATAAATTCGGTGTACTACTGTCGGTGGCTGTATTATTTTCCAAATTGAAGTCATTGACTCGGAGCCCACTTTGACTGCAAAAAACGTGTTTGCAAAATTGTTTGATTAAAAATGACTTTCGGGTCTTCAGAGAAAACAGTATAATGTTTCGTCGATTTTGAAATTTCTAGTGAGCTTCTTATTATTATGAGAGTAAACGACCTTTTCCCACTAAGGTTAGCCTTAATGATACTTTTTTATCCAAAAAGTTTTAAAATACTATTTTTTTACCCAAAATTAATATTTTGTTACTTCACAAAACCGATTTTGACCGTAAATTTTTTTTTTTGTCACCACCATTTTAAACTTTAGCCTTTTCCCTATAAAACCCCGCATATTCATATCACGAAAATCAACTATTTCTAATCACTTTGTACGTATATTTAGCTGGTATATGTAGAACAACTTCTAATTATATTCATCAAAGTAGTAACGAAGTTAGAAGAACGAAAAGAAAAAGAAAAGAAGACCGTTGATTGTTAAGTCTAAGTCAAAATTAATAAAAAGCGCGGGAGGCGGGTGGGGGAAGGGATGGATCGATGAAGCAAAAATTTTAATAAGAAGTTATTTGCGAAGCAACATAGAAGATTCTTGGTTTCTTCTTTGTAGAGTATGTGACGAGAGAAAAAGAGGAGAAATTATGTGAGATTTTCACTTTATTGCCGAGAAAATTCCTGTATAATTTAAGGAGAAAAAAAAAAAGCTATTACGAAACTACGTGAAAAGCTCTTCATATACATTATCAAAGTCTAAGTCAAAAAGAGAAACTGAACCAGACTTTAATAAAAGCTATTGCGAAACTACGTGGAAAGCTCTTCATATGTATTATCAAAGTCTAAGTCAAAAAGAGAAACTGAACAGACTTTAGTAAAAGCTATTGCGAAACTACGTGGAAAGCTCTTCGTATATTCTGTAGAGAATGTAAAAGAGAGGGTGAAAGGGTAATTCCGTCGAACAGGTTGCGTGCGTGAACAGAAGTGATAAGATTGTGAAAAGCGTCAAACAAAGAGAAGAAGATGAAGGAGATGGCGCCATGATCGGAGTTGAAGGCATAAGAATCGAGAAATCAACACTGGGTTTAAAGTGTTGTTCAAACACAGTCCAAGAAGTTGTGCTAAACAGTCAACAAAAGTCATGCCCCATCACAAACTATTATCATATTCACCATTAAACTACTGAAGCAGCAACAACTGATAACACATTTGCATGCAGTGTGGCTGTACGTATCTGATCACGTGTGCTTCTGAATGTGTCAATTTTAATGATTTAAACCAATAATTTAGTGTGCTTCTGGCATTACATATAAACTATTATGTTGCTACACTTATCTTACAGTACCAGTCAGACTCAGTAGTGTAAAAATTATTGACGCATGCATGCATGGATGGATGGTCCTCTTAATTTGTTTTTATCATTTATCAGCTGCAACTTACGAAATGTGAAGTGTCCCACTTGGTTTACTTTCTTTTGTTTATTAAAATTAATTTTAATATGAATTTGTCCATAATTTTCGATGAATTTGTCCACTTAGACAAACACCCCCCTAGTGGAAGAAATATTAAGTGAAAGCCGAATGAGGTGAAGAGGCTCCATTAAAGTGAAAGCGAGCATGCCAATGACAATTATGGTGAAGTTTCGTCTGATAAAGAATTGAAGATGATGTTGATTTCTCATGCAAAAGAGTTTTGTTTTTGTGCAGGCAGTGGTGACGGACTGCACCACACGCTTTCTTGCTGACATTTCCAAATTATATTTGACTATTCAATCACTCATCGCCATCACCAAAAACAGACTTTAATAAAAGCTATTGCGAAACTACGTGGAAAGCTCTTCATATATTCTGCAGAGAATGTAAAAGAGACTATAAGTAAGAGAAGAACTCTGTTAGAGTTCATCACTTTGTAACACAGAAAGCTCCTCTTCCTTCCCATTGAAAACACAACTAATTGCTTTCTTTGAAGCTCTTATATCAAACTTTACTCATCAATATTGTGTAAGTTTCTTCTCTACTTTCTATTTTTAATTTGAACATAATTAATTTATTAGAAGCATACAGTTATATATTTTTTTAAACCAGCTGAGTATATATGAATTTAATTTCTTTCCGTAATCTCTTGCGGCAAAATATATTCATCGATCTATGTTTAGTTTCATCTCGTCTAGTGATTAGACCAGTCGCTGCAGTTGTGCTTTCTTTTAGGTTTTAATCAATATTTGTTTTCTTACAAATGTAATGTTTGTGTGTGAACTACTTGTTTCGCCCTTACTCGTTTAACGTCAAATAGAATTTGGGCGTATATGCTAGTTTTTAAAATACTAGGACTTAGAAAATCGACATCCCAGGGGGTAAATGTAATCATAGATGAAGTAGAAGCTTTAATAAAAAGGTTAGGATGAAACAGCTTGGAAGGGTCTTTATTTTTATTTTATTTTTTCTCTTTATGTGAAGAGAGAAAAAGAGAAAAAATTTCTTGAGTTCATCGCTTTATATAACGCAAAAAAGTTCTCTACTTTCCTATCAAATCACAACCAATTAGCTTTCTTTGAAGCTCTTCATGTTAAATTATGTTAGTTTGTTCTGTTTTTATTTTAATTTTAAGTATATGCATGATTATGCACCTGATATAGGATTTTCGAGAGCGGACTAGAATAATTAGAAGCATATAGGTTTTTTTATTTGTTTTATTTAAATAACGGAAGCTAAGCATATATGCTTTTAATTTTAATTCTTAATTTCTTGCTAACATAATGTATTCATATAAGTTTAATTTCTCAGTAGCTTTTATACAATATCAGAGTTGAAAACTATATGAGCAAATGCATGCATCTCATAAATATATAAATGGTAAAGAAGAAATTAGTTCCTTATTTTTTTCAATTCTATCAGGGGGCATAGACGACACGTGTAACTTGGGAAAAATTAGCTTGGATCAATTAATCGCATTCCTTCCATGAGTATCCAAACAGCTTCTTCTTCAGGTGATCATATTTGTTCTTCCCGTTGGAAGTATGACGTCTTTATAAGCTTTAGAGGTGAAGATACTCGGAAGAATTTCACAGATCATCTATATGCTGCTCTGACTCAAGAAGGAGTTAATGTTTTTAGAGATGCCGACGAACTTGATAGAGGAAAACCCATTTCATTGGAGCTCCTTCGAGCAATTGAAGAATCAAGATTTTCGATTATCGTCTTCTCAAGAAAGTATGCTAATTCCTCTTGGTGCTTGCATGAAATTGCTAAGATTGTTGAATGTAAGAACACAATGGGACAAAATGTTTTTCCCATTTTTTATGATGTTGATCCATCCACGGTAAGGAAACAAACAGGGACGTTTGAGGAAGCTTTTGCTAAGCATGATAAGGAGAATAAACAAAATGTTCAAATATGGAGGAATGCTTTAAAAGAGGTTGCCGATCTCTCTGGATGGGATGCAAAAAACAGGTAATAGTTTTTCTTTTTCATGTTTATGAATGTGTCATAATATTTTTTTTACTGTAATTAACCAATTATTAAAAGATCAATATTTTCATTAGACTATGGTGATTGCTTGATTATTCTTTAAAAAAATCTCTTCTATTAACTACCAATCATTCCCTTATATTTACTCAATTTAAAGTTTAAGAGACATTGGTCCTACATTAAATAGCTGACCGTACGTGTATAATATGATAGCAATAGTAACCCATAATTCAGAGTAAACTATATAAAGAAAGAGAAGAACTCTTGGTACTTGTAAAGTTAAATAGTAATTTTTTCTCATACATTGATTGATCACAACTATTGTTCTTTTTCATTTGCAGACACGAATCAGAACTCATACATGATATTGTCAAAGAAATATCAATTAAATTAAGTCGAACAACATTGATGACTTCTGAGGGCCTAGTGGGAATAAATTCTCGCCTTGAGGAACTGAAGTTGCTGATAGGTACTGGGTCTAATGATATTCGCATGATAGGGATATGGGGAATGGGAGGAATAGGCAAGACAACAATTGCAAGAGTTTTTTGTGACTTGTTTTCAGATCAATTTGAAGGGAAGGCTTTTCTTGCCGATGTCAGGGAAATTTCAAGAAAAAGTGGCCTAGTTAAATTTCAAAGTCAACTTCTGGGAGGAGATACTAACATATGCAATGAGTATGATGGAATTAAAGAGATAAAGAGAAAGTTGCCTCACAAAAAAGTTCTTGTTGTTGTAGATGATGTGGATCATATTGACCAACTAAACAATTTAGTTGGAAAACATGAATGGTTTGGTTTAGGAAGTAGGATCATAATAACAACAAGAGATAAACATTTGTTGATGACTCAGGAGGTTGATGAAGTTTATGAAGCTAAAGAACTGAATTGTGATGAAGCTCTTGAACTTTTCATCTCGAAAGCCTTTAAAAAGCAACAGCCTTCGAAAGTCTATTTGGAGTTGTCCCAACATGTTGTAAGTTATGCTGGTCGTCTTCCATTAGCTCTCAAAGTTTTGGGTTCATTTTTGTTTGGTAGAACTGTAGATGAATGGACAGACACGCTAAAAAGACTCAAAAGAGATCCTAAGAAGGAGATTTTGGATGTACTTGAAATAAGTTTTGATGGTTTAGAAGAAGCTGACAAGAAAATATTTCTTGATATTGCATGTTCTTTTAAAAGACAGATGAGAGAATATGTAACAAGAATTTTGGATGGTTGTGGTTTTAACCCAACTATTGGATTAAGTGTTCTCCTTGAAAGATCTCTTATAACTATTTCAGATTTCAATGAAATAGAGATGCATGATTTGTTACAGGAAATGGGTCGACAAATTGTTAAGAGAGAATCCACAAAAAAGCCTGGAGAACGCAGTAGATTATGGGATGAAGAGGACATTTGTCATGTTCTAACAACGAACACGGTACACACTTAGCGAGAAATATTTTTTTCCTTCAATTTTTAACCGATTATATCTCTATGTATATATAGTTTTATCTTTGCTCCAATTTTGTTTGTCACTTATATTTTTTATCTTAATTCTTTAGGGGACTGAGCTAGTTGAAGCCATAACACTTGGAACAGAGCTCAATGTAAGTGCACTTGGAACAAAGTTCAATGTAAGTGCAAGTGCTAAAGCCTTTTCAAAGATGACTAACCTAAGATTACTCAAGATTAGAGGAGTACAACTTCCCGAAGGTCTTGAGTATCTTTCCAATCAGTTAAGATTACTTGATTGGGATGGATTTCCTTTAAAATCATTGCCATCAAATCTTCAGTTGAATAAACTTGTTGAACTTAAAATGGACGGTAGCCGCATTAGACAACCATGGAAGGGGAACAAAGTAAGATAATTCACTTACACTTTTTTTTGTTTTTAATAAATAATTATTGAATATTTTTATGCATTCATCCTTTAATTAATGTGGTAACTATCCTAAGAAATGCCTTTTTTTCTTTTGTTTCTTCAATTTTAACAGCCTTTCAACATGTTAAAATCAATTAGTTTCAACTCCTGCGAGAGCCTGATCAAAACACCAGATTTCACAGAGATCCCAAATCTTGAGAAGTTGACTCTTAGGGGATGTTCAAGATTGAATGAGATTCACCCATCTTTACTAGCTCATGAAAAGATTAAAATTATGGATCTGGGTTATTGTTTAAGTCTCGAAACTCTTCCAAGCCAGATTCATATGGAATCTCTTATCTATCTTAATCTTGGTGGTTGCTCAAAATTGAAGAGGTTTCCAGAGATTATAGGAAGTATGGAGTGTCTCTTTGCGCTTTTTTTAGATGATACTGCTATTAAAGAATTGCCTCTGTCTATTGGGCTTCTATCTGGGCTTCAATTATTGGACTTAACAGAATGCAAAAATCTTTCCAGTCTTCCAAGTACTTTAAATGACTTGAAATCTCTTTATCACTTGTCTATCTCTCATTGTTCGAGACTTGTGAGTCTTCGGAGTAGCTTGAACTCTCTTAAATACTTGTCTATCTTTCATTGTTCAAATCCCATGACTTTAATATTGTGTCGTGTTACAAAGTTGTATCTTCGTGATTGTAATCTTGGAGATGGGGCAATAACCAGTGATTTGCTTGGAAGCTTCATCTCATTGGAGGAATTAGATCTAAGCCAAAACAATTTTGTTTCGTTACCTACTAGCATCAATCGTCTTTCTAACCTTAGAAATCTTAGTTTGAACTATTGTAGGAGGCTTCAAATTCTGCCAGAACTTCCTTCCAATATAAGTGAGCTTAGTGTAAGCGGTTGCATTTCCCTGGAAAGATTATCTAATGCATTAAGATTATGCAATTCGAATTTGTCAAAAATTTCATCTCACAATTGCTTGAAACTCGATGGTAGTGGTGAGGCATTTTCAATTATGAAGGAACACCTCAAGGAACGGAAGCTGAGCATATATGCTTTTAATTTCAATCCTTAACTTCTTGCTAACATAATGTATTCATATAAGTTTAATTTCTCAGTAGCTTTTATACAATATCAGAGTTGAAAACTATATGAGAAAAATGCATGCATCTCGTAAATATATAAATGGTAAAGAAGAAATTAATTCCTTATTTTTTCAATTCTATCAAGGGGCATAGACGACACGTGTAACTTGGGAAAAATTAGCTTGGATCAATCAATCGTATTGCTTCCATGAGTATCCAAACAGCTTCTTCTTCAGGTAATCATATTTGTTCTTCCCGTTGGAAGTATGACGTCTTTATAAGCTTTAGAGGTGAAGATACCCGGAAGAATTTCACAGATCATCTATATGCTGCTTTGACTCGAGAAGGAGTTAATGTTTTTAGAGATGCTGAAGAACTTGATAGAGGAAAACTCATTTCATTGGAGCTCCTTCGAGCAATTGAAGAATCAAGATTTTCGATTATCGTCTTCTCAAGAGACTATGCTAATTCCTCTTGGTGCTTGGATGAAATTGCTAAGATTGTTGAATGTAAGAACACAATGGGACAAAATGTTTTTCCCATTTTTTATGATGTTGATCCATCCACGGTAAGGAAACAAACAGGGACGTTTGAGGAAGCTTTTGCTAAGCATGAAGAAACTTTTAAGGAGAATAAACAAAATGTTCAAATATGGAGGAATGCTTTAAAAGAGGTTGCCGATCTCTCTGGATGGGATGCGGAAAACAGGTAATAGTTTTTCTTTTTCATGTTTATGAATGTGTCATAATATTTTTTATTGTAATTAACCAATTATTAAAAGATCAATATTTTCATTAGACTATGGTGACTGCTTGATTATTCTTTAAAAAAATCTCTTTTATTAACTACAAATCATGTCCTTATATTTACTCAATTCAAAGTTTAAGAGACGTTGGTCCTACATTAAATAGCTGACCGTACGTGTATAATATGATAGCAATAGTAACCCATAATTCAGAGTAAACTATGTAAAGAAAGGAGAAGAACTCTTGGTACTTGTAAAGTTATATAGTAATTTTTTCTCATACATTGATGACAACTATTGTTCTTTTTCATTTGCAGAAAAGAATCAGAACTCATACATGATATTGTCAAAGAAATATCAATTAAATTAAGTCCAACAACATTGATGACTTCTGAGGGCCTAGTAGGAATAAATTCTCGCCTTGAGGAACTGAAGTTGCTGATAGGTACTGGGTCTAACGATATTCGCATGATAGGGATATGGGGAATGGGAGGAATAGGCAAGACAACAATTGCAAGAGTTTTTTATGACTTGTTTTCAAATCAATTTGAAGGGAGTGCTTTTCTTGCCAATGTCAGAAAAAGTGGCCTGGTTACTTTACAAAGGCAACTTCTTTTGAAAATTCTAAGGGGAAGAGATAATAACATATGCGATGAGTATGATGGAATTAATGAGATAAAGAGAAAGTTGCGTCACAAAAAAGTTCTTGTTGTTGTAGATGATTTGACTCCTATTGACCAACTAAACAATTTAGTTGGAAAACGTGAATGTTTGGTTTAGGAAGTAGGATCATAATACAACAAGAGATAAACATTGTTGATGACTCACAGGTTGATAAGTTTATGAAGCTAAAGAACTGAATTGTGATGAGCTCTTGAACTCTTATCTCAAAAGCCTTTGAAAACCAACAGCCTTCAGAAGACTATTTGGAGTTGCCCAACATGTTGTAAGTTAGCTGGGTCCTTCCATTAGCTCTCAAAGTTTTGGGTTCATTTTGTTTGGTAGAACTTGAGAGATGGACAACCGCTAAAAAGACTCAAAAGAGATCCTAAGAAGGAGATTTTGGATGTACTTGAATAAGTTTTGATGGTTTAGAAAAGCTGACAAGAAAATATTTCTTGATATTGCTGTTCTTTTAAAGACAGATGAGAGAATATGTAACAGAATTTGGTGGTGGTTGTGGTTTTAACCCAACTATTGGATTAAGTGTTCTCCTTGAAAGATCTCTTATAACTATTTCAGATTCAATGAAATAGGGATGCATGATTTGTTACAGGAAATGGGTCGACAAATTGTTAAGAGAATCCACAAAAAGCCTGGAACGCAGTAGATTATGGGATGAAGAGGACATTTGTCATGTTCTAACAACGAACACGGTACACACTAGTCGAGAAATTTTTTTCCTTCAATTTTTAACCGATTATATCTTATGTATATATAGTTTATCTTTGCTCCAATTTGTTTGTCACTTATATTTTTATCTTAATTCTTTAGGGGCTGGAGCTAGTTGAAGCCATAACACTTGACAACTCAGAGTCATTGGAACAAAGTTCAATGTAATGCAAGTGCTAAGCCTTTTCAAAGATGACACCTAAGATTACTCAAGATTAGAGGAGTACAACTTCCCAGGTCTTGAGTATCTTTCCAATCAGTTAAGATTACTTGATTGGATGGATTTCCTTTAAAATCATTGCCATCAAATCTTCAGTTGAATAAACTTGTTGAACTAAAATGGACGGTAGCCGCATTAGACAACCATGGAAGGGGAACAAAGTAAGATAATTCACTTACACTTTTTTTTGTTTTTAATAAATAATTATTGAATATTTTTATGCATTCATCCTTTAATTAATGTGGTAACTACCTAAGAAATGCTTTTTTCTTTTGTTTCTTCAATTTTAACAGCCTTCAACATGTTAAAATCAATTAGTTTCAACTCCTGCGAGAGCTGATCAAAACACCAAGTTCACAGAGATCCCAAATCTTGAGAGTTGACTCTTAGGGGATGTTCAAGATTGAATGAGATTCACCCATCTTACTAGCTCATGAAAAGTATAAAATTATGGATCTGGGTTATTGTTTAAGTCTCGAAATCTTCCAAGCCAGATTCATAGGACTCTTATCTATCTTAATCTTGTGGTTGCTCAAAATTGAAGAGTTTCCAGAGATTATAGAAGTATGGAGTGTCTCTTTGCCTTTTTTTAGAGATACTGTCTATTAAAGATTGCCTCTGTCTATTGGGCTTCTATCTGGCTTCAATATTGACTTAACAGAATGCAAAATCTTTCCAGTCTTCCAAGTACTTTAAATGACTTGAAATCTCTTTAATCACTTGTCTATCTCTCATTGTTCAAGACTTGTGATTCTTCGAGTCGCTTTGAACTCTCTTAAATACTGATGTCTATCTTTCCATTGTTCAATCACACATATCAATTTAATATCGTTCGTGTTACAAGTTGTATCTTGTGATTGTAATCTTGAGATGGGGCAATAACCAGTGATTGCTTGGAAGCTTCATCTCATTGAGAAATTAGACTAAGCCAAAACAATTTTGTGTTGTCTCATACCTTACATCAATCGTCTTTCTACCTAGAAATCTTAGTTTGAACTATTGTAGGAGGCTTCAAATTCGCCAGAACTTCCTTCCAATATAAGTGACTTAGTGTAAGCGGTTGCATTTCCCTGGAAAGATTATCTAATGCATTAAGATTATGCAATTCGAATTTGTCAAAAATTTCATCTCACAATTGCTTGAAACTCGATGGTAGTGGTGAGGCATTTCAATTATGAAGGAACACCTCAAGGTCTGTCACTTTCTTCTCTTTTTCGAATTAGATTTTTTTTTATTTTATCCGACATTTCCCAAACTTTAGAGATCTGTATTATCTGTCTAACTTTATTTTACATATATATGGTCACGATTTTGCTTTATCATTTTATAGTAGTAGTATTATTACATTTCCTTTCTGCAATTAATACCGAATAAATCCTTGTATTTACATTCAACATGTCTATTTTTCCATCTCATAGAAGCTTTGTTTATTTTGGGTACAGCTGACAAATTCAAGTAAAAGATTAGCATGGTTGTTCCAGCAAGTGAAGTTCCAGGTGGTTCAGCATAAGAGTGACGGTGATTCAATAAAAATAAAAAGCGCCGATTTACAAGAATGATAGCAAGTTGGTGGATATGTTGTGTGCTCTACATAAGATGTACAAGAATGATGCAACGAGCTTCACTTCGTATCGATGTGACTGGATTTTTCCGAAATCGTCTCTGCCGTGACGTTGTTTAGGTGTTGACTCGCGCCCGCTGGTTAGATCATCTTGTCTACTCTATTTACCTGTGAGAAAATCAAACGATTAAGTCCCGAGTTCAAATTTGTTATCGTGGATCACCCCGAAGTGCCAAAAGTGAAGGTGAAAAGGGTTGGAGTCCATCCTGTGTATGAGAATGAAGATTTTGTTGAGTTTCATTGATCAAGATTTTGTGGTGCCAAGGCCTTGCTGTCAAGCTGCATTGTGTTATGCTGTTTATTGAGAGTTATGATTGTGTTAATTTTATATGTTGTACTTGTTATCAGATAATTAACTTTTTCTTTATTTATTATATTATTATTATGGATGTGAGATGAGGAGAATAAATTGAGACAACATTCGTCTTTGGCCTTCCGTTCTGGTAAGACACTAACACAAGCAATGCAACCTCCAGGACTGCAAGCATCTGGTTTTTTGATAGCAAGTGAAGTTGCGTTGATATTAATATCTTCATGTTCCCAGTTGGGTAACACCAACTTGGCTAACTCAGTACCCCGCTAATGGAGGTTTTCTGGTCAGCAACTCCAGGAGAATAACATTGAAGCGTAACGTTCCAGCCGCTGTTACTCCCATCGTGTAGGCATACCTGCAATAATCTCAAATACAGAAAACTAAAACAAAATTAGTAATCTATCTGATTGCAGATTTATGAATGTAAAAAGAAAAAGATCATGAGTAATGAGATCCAAGGGTAAGTATCCTGAAATGGTGATGCTAATATGCCTAAAAAATATGTTATCACCTATTTTCATTTTTCAGATTTCAACGGTTTATGAATTGCTAATTGTACGTTATATGCTAAATATGCATCAATATGTGTACAATTTATCTGATAGCCAATGTGCCTAAGCATTTTGCAACTGTAAAAGCCATACCCAGTTTGAGCAATTCTTAGCTATAAAGCAAAAGAGAGTTTACCTGGAGAATATAACCGATAGAACCAGCAAGCGTGGAAAGACTGCCATCCCCTTTGAGGGGTCAATCACTTTGCAGAGTTCAATATCTCCAAGGTGTGGTTCTTTCAGTGACTTAAGCATAATGTTTTTACTTGAAAGATCAAGGAGGAGAATTGGACCAGAAGTGTATCCTAATTGATTGCTACTCAGATTCAAAGCAATCTGCAATTTCACTGGCAACGATGGAATTCGGCCACTTAGCTTATTTTCTCCAAGTTGGAGTTCTATCAAAGAATTCATGTTCCTGATAGAGTCGGGCATGGAACCACTGAGATAGTTGTTTTGTAAGTTCAAGTTTGTAAGCTCTTGCAACTTGGAAAAGAAAAGAAGGTATTGAACCAGTCAGCGAATTCCAGCTAATGTTTAATTGAGAAAAAGTCTTGGGAAAACTGAACAGGGATGTCTCCACTGAGGTTGTTAAGTTGGAGCTTTATAACTTGAAGACTGCTGAGATTACCCAACTGTGCCGGCAATGAACCATTCAATTTATTTTGAGCCAAGTTCAACAGCGTCAAAGTTTGGCAATCACCCAATTCTGAAGCTATTGTTGTCCAGAGTTGCAAAATTCGCTGAAGGGATCACACCATTGAGTGAATTGCTTCCTAATCTCAACCTGACCAAGCTTGGAGACATTTTATCAGGTATTGAACCCTCTAGGGAATTATAAGACAAATCCACAGTCTGCAAATTTGTAAATGACAAAAAGTCTTCTGGAATAGACCCTGTCAACTTATTATAACTAAGGTCTGAATTCTTCACATATCTTGTGAGTCCACTAGGAATTGAACCAGTAAAATTGTTCTGATTGGCTGCAAGCCGTGACAGGGTTGATATACTTGAGAAATTTGCTGGAATTCCACCATCTAAGATTTTCACAGAGAGAATTAGAACTTCCAACTCGGCAAGTTTTACAATTCTATGAGGAATGAACCCTGAAAGCCGATTAACATGCACTAAAGTCAATCAAGGTCAAATTTCCATAATCTGCAATTTCTTCAGGTATTTTGCCACTGAAATTATTCACAGAAAGCACAAGTTGCACTAACCTTAGATGTCCCAAGATTGCTAGGAATAGCCCCCTCAAACAAATTTCGACTAACATTCAAACTTTTGAGATTAACTAATTCATCAAACAGTAAACTAATGTTTCCACTCAATCTATTAAAAGACAAATCCAAGAATTCTAATCCAACAAAAGAATCATGCAACCAATTCTTGCTAAAATTCAACAACTTGAGCCCACCAATCCTTCCACAATCTGAGATGAATTCATTGGGAATTGAGCTGAACTGGTTTTCAGAAACATCAAGTGATTGCAAAGAACTAATATTACAAACAACAGACAAAAACTAGAGTCAAAGAGACCAAACCCAGATAAAGAAAGCTGAGTTATCAAGGAACCACCACTGCAGTTAATTCCCTTCCATAAACAAGGGTTCAGCTGCTTTGAAACATCCCATTCCAACGCTGAACTGTCGAATCAAGGTCAAATTCCCATAATCTGCAATTTCTTCAGGTATTTCGCCACTGAATTAGAGAAATGATGGCTACGTTTGAGTAAAGCCATTTCAAACAATAAAAGCAATTCCTTTTCCACAAGTTTCATGCACAATCATATACATATATATTAAAATTTTCAAGACATCTGCAGTAAAAATTTTCTACTAGTTTGATAGTCTATTGTCTTGCTCAAAAAATGAGATGAGAAGCTAATGAATAAAACAGATTATATTCATTGGGTAGATTGACCGATTAATAATACAAGGACTATACCTGCCTAGATTCAATTGATAGACACATACAAAAATATAATGATGTGATTGGGTGATAGATTTTACAGTAGAAGAGCAGGCTGTGAAATGCACATTCTTCTTACGTGCCTTGTCGGTTACTTGTAAGCTCGAGTTCGCCATTGGAAGGATCATCTGACATACATACAGTCGTACGATGCTCAGTTTTTAAGTGATTTTGGATGATGCTGAATCTAATACTACTACTGGGCTGCACAATCAGTTTGGTAATTGTAACACTGATGGAATGGATTTTATGTCGGAGCAGTCAACGGCGTTTTGGAAGCTGCTTCAAAAGCTTGATTAATTCATAAGTTCTCGTGTCTTTACCGGAGTAGAGGCATAGATCGAGTGGGGTTAAACCCTCCTGAGTCAAAGAAAAAAGATTAAAAGATCTGACCGCTGCATGCAACTATGTAACGGCAATTAAGCATTTTATGAAGTAAAAAACTAAGGATAAATAATAATATGGCAGCTAGAAACAACACAAATCAAACAGACGAAACATCAGCGGAAAGAACTTGCTGAAGTACTAAAAATGTCATACCAGTAACCAAAGAATGCCTCTGAAATCTAAATCCTATATCCATATATAATACAAAAAGAGTCCCAATGTTTGCCAAACTTATGGACAGGTATCACTTCCATATAATTTTGATAAACTATCCTTCAAAGAAATACGTTAATCAACTTATAATGACCACGCGTACTTTAGTAAGTTTGAAAGAACGGAAATGACTCTTCTAGTTTTCAAGGTCGTGGCTGTCTATCATGAATCTGGAGCTTACTATTATAATGATTATGTAAAAATGTAAATCACATCATAAAAGTGCCACCTCTAGGTTCCATGATAACCAAAACGCACAAGGGTAACAATTCAATCATCCATGATCTGGTTATGCGTGAACTAACAAAGATAAGCACCTATATACAACAAGCTCTTAGTATATAATAAGGAAGTTGACGTTAATTGGTTAATTCTTACCTGGTTTTTCAATGTTTTATCAGCTCCTTTAATCAATAACAGTTTCACTATATCTGTCCTACGAGCTTGAACAGCAAGATGTAAAGGTGTCCATCCATCCTGAAAAGTGCAAATAAGAATATTCCCCAGCAGAACAGATATCAAATAAAAATGCAAAGGAACAATAGGTAGTTGTCGAACATACATTGTCTTTAAGATTTAGATCAACATTGTATAACAAAAGAATTTTGATTGCTGGACTTGATGCTGTTTGAACAGCATAATGCAATAAAGTGGCCCCATTCTGTAGCAGCAAGAAAACATAAAATGTATCAATTTACTAACCAATTGAATGACCAAATATACTAAGTGGTGTAAATGCATTAAGCTGAACAACAGAAGTTTACAATAAACACCATTACCAAGATATTAAAGAGCCTAAATCAAGTTAAAATAAGGAAATGCGGAAACAGAAAAAACAAAGAAAGTATGTAGGAAAAGATGATTAGCCATCAAGATGAAGATGAAAATAATAGTAATAATAAAGAAGTTACTCCTGCAAAGAAATAACGGAAGAATATCAAGAAAAGATATACATGACTAAGGTCCCAATACAGAGAGTTTCAGATAACAAGAAATCTCAAATTTTAAGTTCAGCAAAAAGTAAGCCTTTGTGAATAGAAGCCTTCACAGAGAAGACAAGATATGAATGGCACCAACAATAATATGAGGCTAAATATACTCTTCACATGGATAACATATACTCGTATATGGTCCAAGGCCAAATAGTTTCAACTCACATCATCACAAACAAAAGGATTCGCTGATTCTCTCAACAGATAGTTGGTAACTGCCTGCTTCTTCCCAATGATAGCTTTGTGAATTGCAGTCAAGCCATCCTGAAAAAAAGTTAGAAGCCAAAATTGAAAAATTTATTTTAAAAAAAAAAGAAGGGCTTAAAATAGCGGCTAAATGTAATATCAAGTGACATTTCTTTCATTTAGACAAACATCCTGACGTATTTAACCAAAAAGGGGAAGTGAGAAAAACAAAGGCACAGTATCATATCTAGTCAAAAAGTGGTCAATTTATTTACCTTATCCACAGCATTGATGTCAACATTATGTTTCAACAAAGCATCAACAAGGTAGAACTCTCCAGATGCAGCGAGGGTGTGAAGAGGTAGCCATTTTTTCTGAAAAAGATTCCATCAGAAGTTATAAATAGATGACANTTGTTCAAAAAAATCAAAACAGAATAGAAGGGTTATACGGGTGCCCGCGGGTGCCCACGGGTTCACCCGTATGACCCGTAATTTATTGGACCGGGTACGGGTACGGGTCATATAAAAATTGGTTTATTTTATTGAACCCATACCCTATATTTTTTACCCGGGTACGGACCGACCCGCGGGTCCATACCCGTTTTGCCAGGTCTAGGGATATGTTATGTGCTCTAGATTTTTTGACAATAATATGTCTTTTGCTAATATTGGTGGTCGTTCTGGCATAAATGTTGCTGTCTGTGATGTGTTCGATAATGATCCAAGGAAGAGCGGTTATGTTGTAGAGGTTGATTATGAAGTTGGCTTGCGCGTGCCTAAGTCAGATCATCTTTGGCTACTCTATTTCCCTGATGAGAAAATCAAACGATTTAATAGTCCCAATTTCAAAATTTCGTCATTGAATTGCCGAGTGAAAGGGGTTGGAGTTCATCCTGTATATAAGAATGAAGATTTTGAGTTTCATTGATCAAGATTTTGTTGAGCCAAGGCTGTGCTGTCAATGCTGCATTGTGTTTATGTTGTTTATTTGAGAGTTATGATTGTGTTAATTTATATGTTATAACTTGTTATCAGATAATTAACTTTTTCTGTATTATTATTATTATTATTATTTGAGGATGGACAATGGAGAAATAAATTGAGACGAAATTATGACAATAAGAACAATCAAAAAAGGAAGATTCATAAATATATAACCTTTTCCACAGGAAGACTCTATTACACAAAATACAAAGCTACAATCAAAAGTTTTAGGAAATGCTTCTAAAACTGATTCAATTAATTTTCAGTAGGCAAAGTCGGGTTTATGTTAATGTGTTAGCATTTTGTAGCATCTGTAGCACAGCATTCATCTTTGGCCTTCCTTGGTAAGACACTAACACAAGCAATGGCAAACTCAGGGACTGCAGGCATCTGGATTTTGATGGCAAGTGAAGTTGCGTTGATATTAACATCAAATATCTCATCCCTTTTATCGTCATGTTCCCAGTTGTGTAACACCACCTTGGCTAATTTAGTACCCTCGCTAATTGGAGGTTTTCCGGTCAGCAACTCCAGGAGAATAACTCCGAAGCTGTAAACGTTCCCAGTTGCAGTCACTCTCATCGTGTAGGCATACTTTGCAATTATCTCATATACAGACCTCAGAAAGCTAAAACAGAAAATTAGGAATCTATCTGATTGCAGATTTATGAATGATAAAAAGATCATGAGCAATGAGATCCAAGGGTAAGTATCCTGAACTGGTGATGCTAATATGCCTATTTTACCTTTTTTCAGATTTGAGATGGGTTTAGGAATTGCTAATCATAAGTTATGTACTAAATTATGCATCAGATGTAATGCGTAACAAATGTATATGATAGCCAATGTGCCTAAGAATTTTCGTAAATGTAAAAGCTATGCCTGGTTTGAGCAATTCTTTAGCTATAAAAGCAAGAGAGAGGGTTTACCTGGAGGAATATAATCGACAGAACCAGCAACCGTGGAAAGACTGCCAATCCTCTTTGAGGGGTCAATCACTTTGCAGAGTTCAATGTCTCCAAGTTGTGGCTCTTTCAATGACTTAAGCATAATGTTTTTACTTGAAAGATCAAGGAGGAGAATTGGACCAGAGGTGCATCCATTCAAAAAAGCAAGACCCTGGACTAATCCTACTGCTACACTGTAACGGCTTTCCCAATCCATACTACTTCCATTGATACCGTGAAGAATGTCGAAAAGGGTGCATGTTTGGGCATATTCATAAAGTAGATAAGCACTGTCCTTAGTCAATGCATAAGCCAAAGGAGTCATGACATTTGAATGGTTCAACTTCCCTATGATCTCTAGCTCTTGCTCGAATTTATCATTCTGGAATATCTTATCACTCCGGTTCAGCTTCTTAATGAAGTAGCTCTTTCCGGATGGCATGATGGATTTGTAATAGGTTGAGAACTTCGTTTTCAGGAAAATGTTCAATGGATTAGCTATTGTTTCCATGGCTTTGGTGAAGGAAATATTTGATTTGTGGATTTCATTTTCCGTCAGAAAATTGCTCAGGATGATCCAAAAAAAATAGAAACATCTTGGAATTGATAGATAAATGAATATGATTACCCTAGCGGCAAGGACACCAGCGGCAAGGGCAGTAATTATTGAAACAGCAACTGGCATTTTTTTCTTTGCTAGTTCCGGGAAAGTGTTTGGTGCAGGTATGAGGTTCGGATTTCCAGTTATATTGACCGAAACAAAGAGGGTAAACTTAGGAACAATTCCTGACGACTGATTATTAGAAAGAATTAACTGCGTCAGGGTTGGCATTTGAGTAAAAAAAAAAACAGGAATTTTACCAGACAATTTGTTGTTTGAGAGACCTAAAACTTCCAATCCAGTCAGGCTAGAAAGGCTGTGTGGGATGGATCCTTCAAAGAGATTGCTGATCAGATTCAAAGCAATCTGCAATTTAACTGGCAACGATGGAATTCGGCCACTTAGCTGATTTTCTCCAAGTTGCAGTTCTGTCAAAGAATTCATGTTCCTGATAGAGTCAGGTATGGAACCACTGAGATAGTTGTGTTGTAAGCTCAAGTTTGTAAGCTCTTGCAGGTTGGAAAAGGAAGAAGGTATTAAACCAGTCCGCGAATTCCAGCTAATGTTTAATTGAGACAAATTCTTTAGCAGGGAAAACTGAACAGGGATGTCTCCACTCAGGTTGTTGAGTTGAAGCTTCATAACTTGAAGACTTCTGAGATTACCCAATTGTGCCGACAATGAACCATTCAGTTTATTCTGAGCCAAGTTTAACAGCGTCAAAGTTTGGCAATCACCCAATTCTGGAGGCATCATTCCAGTGAAGCTATTGTTGTCCAGCTCCAAGCAAGTCAATTTTTTCAGAGTTGCAAAATTCGCCGAAGGTATCACACCATTGAGTGAATTGCTTCTCAATCTCAACCTGACCAAGCTTGGAGACATTTTATCAGGTATTGAACCCTCTAGCAAAGTATAAGACAAATCTACCGTCTGCAAATTTTTAAATGACAAAAGGTCTTCTAGAATAGACCCTGTCAACTTATTGTAAATAAGATCTAAATTCTTCACATATCTTGTGAGTCCACCAGGAATTGAACCACTAAAATTGTTATGATTGGCTGCAAAACGCGACAGGGTTGATATACTGAAAAGGTTTGTTGGAATTCCACCATTTAAATTATTCTCAGAGAGAATTAGAACTCCCAGGTTTGTGAGTTCTCCAATTCTATTAGGAATAGACCCCGAAAGATAATTGACACTAAAGTCAACAAAGGTCAAATTCCCATAATCTGCAATTTTTTCAGGTATTTCACCATAAAAAGAATTCCGAGAAAGTACAAGTTGCTCTAAAGCCTTAGATTTTCCAAGGTGGCTAGGAATAGAACCTTCAAAACAAGTGTGACTAAGATTCAAACTTTTGAGATTAACTAATTCATCCAACAGTAAACTAATGTCTCCAGTCAGTCTACTATTGTAAGATAAATCCAAGAACTCTAATCCAACAAAACTATAAAAGCTAGTTAAATTACCAGACTACCAATTCTTGCTCAAATTCAATGACTTTAGCCCATGAATCGCTCCACAGTCTTTGATAAAATCAGAAATTGAGCTCAAATTGTTGATGGAAAGATCAAGTGAATGCAAAGAACTAATCGCACAAACAACAGGCAACTTATCTGTAGAGAGTGCAAACCCAGATAAAGAAAGTTGCGTTATCAAGGAACTCTTACTGCAAGTAACTCCCTTCCATAAACATGGATTTGGCTGTTTTGCAACATTCCATCCTAAATTTGAATTGTTAAGTTGCTGAGAGAGAGTGATCATGGTGGTTGTTTGGTTTGATGGTAGTTGAGAGACTGATAAAGGGTGTAGTAAAATGAAGAAACAAAAGAAGAGAGAGGTTACGGTGCCTCATTTGAGCTGATGGGCCAGAAGAGAATATGAATATTTGTTTAATTTTGCTGAGTTAGTTTATTTCAAGTGAGGAGGAGACAAAGAAATATTGGTTTGGTTGATTCTTACGTGGGAAATTTTTCAAAAATTTAGTTGGCAGTGAAATTTTTAGACTGGAGAGACTTTGATACTACAAAACAGAGTTCAAAAGACTTGACTATCAGTAGCTGTATTACTTTTCTTATACTTAATTTTTGTGGACTGTTGACCAGCCAGACTTTTGAACTAACAAACAACCACACACCCTGACTTTTATCAAGTAAAGAACAAGGGTCTTGTTAGTTTTGCTGGAGAATACAAAGAAAAGAGTGATGCTATGGGTACTAACAGATGGGTACTAATCTGTGTACTAACTAAAGCATAGTACCCGTACTATGCGTATAGTATGCGTACTATGCTTTAGTTAGTACACAGATTAGTATCCATCCGTTAGTACCCAAAGTATTATTCCAAAGAAAATATTGAACAAAGAGAGAAAGACGTTATGTGTCTTCTTGTTTTGTTTTCAACCATACAGAACCTTGAACTTGTCCCTGCCACTTTATCCCTTGCTTGAAAAGTTAAACCACGTAGTTACACACAGACAAAAGGGTAAAAGCAAACCTATACTGTTGGTTGGGACCAAAATCACCAGGCCTTCAGGCTTAAACGTAACCTGTATGTACAAATACTGGTTAGCCCAAGTTGAAATGGGCTTTTATTATCTATCCAGTTTTGATGTGAAGATTAAGTGGACAAGCCTCAACAAGCTAAAATGCTGCTAATCTAATTCGGTGTTTGTGAACGTGAATCGTCTCTTGCTTTTGAATGTTCTTGTTAGTTGTTACTATGAAAAATGCTTTGATTTTGGAGAGTAATATTACGTTTATAATCTCTTCTCACAATCTTTTTCTCACAACTTTGATGTGACAGTTCATAAGTGGTCAATCATAATTTTATCAAGTGAGATCTATTACAAGCTATCATGTTAAGGTTCTGAGAAGAAGTTGTAAGCAGTAGCATTACTCTGGTTTTGAATGGTTTTGGTTGAGAGCTATCTATCAAAGTCGCATTTATTATGCAACAACGGTTTCAGAAATTGATCATATAGATGCAGAGTAGCTTATTTTTATTTCATAAACTGTGGTAAAGGGACACACACTCACATATGTGACATTCTCCCCATCACCTCCTTGATCTAGGAAACTACAAATTAGAAACCTCAATTTTTTGTTGAAGAAGCTACGATAACAAGTTTTCTGTGTATTAAGGCCACAATGGAAGGGTTTGCAGCCTCCAGCATGACACCGCCTTCTTTGATCTCACGTCATAACTGTAAGGATTATCTAATTGGCTATGTAAAAAGATTTAAATACCATTGGCACAAGCAGTCCAATTTGAAGGAAGCCTTTTTGATGTCAANGCCAAGACTCTTCCCCCAAAAAACCAAAAAAAAACCTAAATTTATTATAAACTTTTTACATATATTTCCACCCAAAGTTTAACAAAATAGTAAGTTTGTACTTCTAGTTATATATATTCTAGTTTATACCCCTAAATTAACACATTAAATCTCTTTTAATAATGGAAGACTAAAATAGTCATTTATATATCTCAAATTATTCACCCCCAATTCAATCCCAAAATTTTACATTCACATAAATCATCTCCAGCCCTCTTCTGCCGCCAGTGGTTTGGAGTTAATTTCGGTCAATTTTGGCTCCGGTCGATTTTCTCACCAAAATCGACCGAAATCATCATTTTATCATTTCCCAAACTTGATAGCCCTCGATTTGACTAATTTTTGCTAAATCTCGCAACCTAACTCCACCACACGACAACCATTTCCAGCCTTTTTGACATGTATCCGACATTGTTGGCCTTCCTCAACACCATCATCTTCCTCCCCTCAGCCCTCTCAACAAAACCCCTATCATACCTTATCCGTTTATTTTGCCAATCGCCGACCATCGATACCTTTTGGGTCGTGACTTTTCAAGCATTTTCTTATCAATCTTGGCATTAGAAATCGCTCATTTCACCACCCATCACTTCTCCAACATCTACTCTCCAAAACCCCCCACCAACCTAACCTTGTTAGCCTGCCGATTGCTGTCCACCTCTTCTAGTGATTTTTCATCTCAAAAAGCAAAAAAATTAAAAAAATAAAAAAAATAATTTTTTTAATACATGCTTATATCATTAGAGGGTCCCAAAGTAACTCCTGCCTAGGGTCACAAATGTTCTAAAGACGGCCCTGCCTCCAGCATGACACCGCCTTCTTTGATCTCACGTCATCACTGTAAGGATTATCTAATTGGCTATGTAAAAAGATTTAAATACCATTGGCACAAGCAGTCCAATTTGAAGGAAGCCTTTTTGATGTCAAAATTGGCATATTGCGGACATTCACATCAAGTGGTAGCATACGATATTCAATACCAAGATCTTTAAATGATCAGATCAGCTGTGCTCTCCTTGTTACTCTCTCTCCTGGGTTCTGAAAGTTCAATCTGTGTTGCAGCCACATTGATATCTTCACTTTGTTCATGTCCTCAACCTCGGTCACCACCATCAGTGGAGATGGGTGCTAATGATCCCTTTTGCTTTCAACGTATCTGCACATAGAATTTACAGCAGCTAGACTCATTACAACAAATTATTACAATTAGGCCTCAACGAAATACAATTATTAGTAAAGACTAAAGATGAAGCATCTCAAGGTATACCCAGTTATTCTTTCTCTCAGGGTGGAAATTTTCTCAATTCAATAGTTATGCATAAACAATTATGTTGTCCTCGTGTAAACCTATTACTAACTCTCTCTAATTTCATCAATTAGGCAATTAACACACTAGAAACCACTATATCATGATTGTGTCATTCTATTAGTGTAAACTGCAAAACTCAATTACTTCGAGCAAGGAAGATGTTTACTACATTATTTCTGGAGATAAATCAAGCACTATATCATTATCTATAATAAATGATGTACAACAATTTCATTCATTTCAGTGAGAAAATTTCACAAGCAAGTGGTAACTAACTGACAGAAATGAATATCTTCTTTTCCTTCTCTTCATTTTTTACGGCCTTTGTACACGTTGCTGTCCATTAGTTTCAATAACTGCTATAGCCTGATCAAAACACTAGACTTTACAGAGATCCCAAATCTTATGGAGTTGACTCTTAAGGGATGTTCAAGGTTGTGTGAGATTCATCCATCTTACTAGTTCATAAAATTATTAAACAGATGGATTTGGAAGACTGTTCAAGTCTTCAGACTCTTCCTAGCAAGTTTCATATGGAATCTCTTGAAATTCTTTCTCTTTTCGGTTGCTCAAAACTTAAGAAGTTTCCAGAGATTGCAGTATGGGATGTCTCTTCAAGTTTTCTTTAAATGAAACTGCCTCTGTCAGTCGAGCTCCTAGGAGAACTTGGATACCAGCATTTGATGAGATGCAAAAATCTTTTTGAGTCTTCCAAGTACTATAAATGGCTTGAAATCTCTTGAAGTTCTTCGTCTCATTGGTTGCTCCAAACTTGGAAATGTGCCAGAGACTTTGGGGCAACTAGAAAGTTTGACAATTCTTTATTTAAGTGTGTTGATGCTCAGTTTAAGCACCAACGAATTCTCACGTGTATAATGTTGATTGGCTGTTCAATACACATGAAAATGAAATGTATAAAAGCGAAATAAATGTAAAGGGAGTTTTTTAAGTGGTTCGGATGCTAAGGTAGCAAGTCCTACGTCCACTGATTTGTATTGATATTAGTGTGTGTCAGGTCGCGGCTGCGAGCTGACTTATATAAGATAAAAAAAAGTCACAGATGATTACAGGAGAGGGAGATTTCTTTTTATGAAAAATGGCCGAATCCCCCTAATGATGGGGTCTTCTTCGTTTTATATCAAACTAAAGTGTATAATCATCACCAAATCCATGGTTTGGTGTGATTGTCAGGATGTAATCCGGCTTTACGTCTCATTTTCCTTTTCCCAAGCTGACAACGCACGACTTATTGCAGGGAAATGGACTTTTGTGAGCTCCATATCACTTGGCAGGTCTGACGTGTGCGTGTTGCTCTGACGGGAGCAGGTCACCCTTCACGTGACTTTCCCACGTCAGCCCTTTATTTTCCTGGGCGTAACAGAAGCCCCCTAGTTTTTAAGGTTCGAGGGTCGGACCTTGGAAACTAAGTTACGTTGGAGTTTTTGGTCGCTCCGACCTGAACAGTATGAGCTCGGCACAGAACTCTGCCGAACACGATCTCGCGCTGTTCCCCGTCAGAGCGACCTGACAATCTCCACCTTAGCGACCTGGATCTGAGGGGCGCTCTTCTGTACAGATTCGATGAACCTGGTTTCATGCTGTCATGCGGTCTGCGCGCGTTAAAGCTTGTCAGGCACATTAAATGCCTCGCGTGCTGAGCTAGTACCGTTTGGCAGCGTTAGTGGCGCAGCGTAACCGAAACGACAACCATTATCACGTCATTTAATGCGACGTGGGGCGCATTTAATGCGGGGAGAGAGAGTGGGTTGTCGTTTCAGTTCCAAGGGGTGGTAACCGTCGATTCGCAATCCTCATATAAAAACTTGCATTTTTCTGATGAGGTCACCGAAATTTCTTTCGCTTCAAGTGCAAAACCTTTACACACCAGGAACAGTTTTCTTCCGATCGGCGTTTTTCAGGCAATCGAAACGAGTTTCGGCATCAGCTTCGCATCTCAGAGAGTAAGGTTTTTGTTTTCCTTTATTTTATATTTATTTTTTTTTGCACTGGTTTGGTTGAATAGTGGCGTTGGGTCTCC